AAATGTTTCGTAACACTTTTTTTTGTGTGAAACCGCTCAATGAACTACATCTCCCGTCTCGCACCACACACCAAGACGGCCGTCACGTTGGCACATTTCAACTCTTTCTTTCAGAATGAGGCGAAAAGTATTAAAAGAGGTTAAAATCACTACAAGTCTGGGCATGTTGAGAGCTGTACATACACAAAAGGGGAGTTAGTCGGTTCCGTAAGAGCCAGCATGCGGGACCGGGATTCTGGGATTTGTAGTCTTTCTAGTTGCATATTTTTCATTGTCTTATATTTCAAAAGTTTTACGACAAACTGTGACTTTTTTGACATGGAAATTATTTTTTAATATTGACAAACATCATATTTGTAATTCGTGGCACAATTCAAACGGGATCGAAAGATGATCTTTCTCTCTCCATTGACTTCAATTCAAACTTTTTCCGAAATAAGGTCCCATGAGTCCCACCGGAAGGGGAGGGATTTTGCCTCTCTATATACAAACAACAAATAGCGTGTGCGTTTCATTTTCACTCTCTTCAGTTTTTTCATTCCACATCGTCATGATGTAAAATAAATTATTGCGTCCAGGTGAGATGAAAATAATAGCCAATAATAATAATAATAATAGTATGTGCCTTCTTAATTGTTTGTTTGCGTACCTCACTTCCGTTTCGCTTCTCATGCACTGATTCGCTAAGATGAACAGCCAATCAGTTCTTTATTTTCCGATTCAACATGTTCAATCGGGAGCGGAAGGTGTCGGCACGGCCGAAAGTACATGACAGTGCGGGACACACCAATCTGAGTAGGGCAAAAGTACGCTCATCAACGGCAGGACATCTATCGACGATGTTTCCGGGTCTTAAGTTGTTTACAAAAAAACAGGCTGATCAAATATTCACACAAAGATTAAGCGTCAAAAATGTGTTTCAAGCCAAGCTGCCATGAATATGTGAAGTGATTCAATGATGGGATTCAGTCATGCTTCTCTTTGGTGTGGGCGGCTCCATGACAAGCCCAAGGCTTTGAAAATGTGCTGTTTATTAATTAGAGAAGCTCCTCTGTTTGTGTGTGCCCTTGTGGCTTGTCTGCAGTGCTGATCTGAGGCCTTTTTTGTATGATGGTGGTAGTGGAGAGGGTGGGTTCACAAGTTCTACCTAGTGCTCTGAAGTAAGGGACCCGCAAGTAAATTAGCCATAGCTGTTGCCATATGGGCTGGCCTGTGTCAGCTGAGCTAATGTGGGCCAATAAGTAAGTACAGATTCACACGTCAGCATAGAGGAACATCTTGAATGCAAATGCTTTCGAGAGGGCTTGAAAATTGCCTTGGTTTGCATGCTCAGCACAAATGGAAAACTGTTTCTTGACTGTATAAATAAACACATTAAAAAACATGAAAGAATTGCAAGATTAATCAATATCCAGAGGATTTAGGTAAATGCCAAGGAGAGCCTATTGCTGTCAATATGATTTAATTGAGCTATTTGAGTCTTTCTCATTAGCAGCAGAGATCTTATTCCACAGGACTCGACTTTAATTAGTCAGTTCAATTAAAGGCCCTCGTGATACACATTTAGCAGCTGCAAATGACACTCCTAATGACAGTTCATAACAGTGGATGAGATTAATTGACTATTTTCATATATCAATTAATATGAATATGATTTGCTACTGCCTTAATGGCAAACATTTCTGAATACAAAATGATGTATGAATGACAAGTGGTTTAACCATTTCATGACATCTGCTTGCAATAAATAGTTGATATTTTAATTATTTCCCTACAGCGAATCCAATAGTCAGTTTTTCCATTTAAAGTGTACTCAATTTAATATAACAAACCTATGACATTGTTGGTGGTTAAAAAGAAGTAAAAAATCACTGCCGAAATAACAGATTTATATGATTGCTTATTTTATTCCATGTATCTTTCCTCCTGCTGCCTACATTACCCACAATGCAACTGGACCGCTGGGTGATGTGGATATCTGAGTTTGCTATAGTAGTAGAAGGAAAGTTTACAACTTTCAAACTCAGTTTATTCCCAGATTGTTTTTTCAAATTGCATTCCTAAACCTGAACTAATGTTGTCACACTTTTTTTCAAAATACATTTACATACGGTATCACCAAGACGTTAAACAGACTGATGTGTAAAAAAAAACAATAGATTTGTTTTGTTCAGCACCTATGAGGTAATGAATTTCATTAGCACATACATCTTTTTTGCAAGTTTAAGCAAATGGTTCAACATTAACAGACTTTACACAGTAAATCTACCCATAACACCCTGGTGGACAGGATCAAAGGCCAATGGCAGCATGGTGTTCTCGAAATGTAACACAGTGCGTATCAGGGAACGAAAAACCGTAACGTTCCTGACAGGAGCCATTACTTACTCGTACTTTTTTTTATGATAACCTGCTGAGAACCATATTTTTTGAAAAAGGACCAGTGTCCAATAAATCCTGTGTTAAGAAGGACAGGAGGCATTTCCGACTTTTGGTGCTGTAGAGGGAGAAAAAAAGAAAGAAAGTGAGCCAAAGTTGACAGCCAAGCAAAAATTATTATTCTTCCCAGGCATTAACCATCTTTGAGTTATTGGATTACAGCTCAAATCCATTGACACAAATTATCAAGAATTTAAATTAAAACAAATAGTTCAGTTAAACTCTATCCATTTTCATGTATTTTTTTGTTGAGATTTTTTAATTCAAATGTAAACATTACAAGGCAGTCTGATTTCATGGCTTATATTATGTTGTGTCAAGACCTTTCTCACATCCAAACTAAATATGCAGTAAAGTGATTATATCAACAACATTAACAGTATAAGGCTAAAGGCAGAATGAAAACAAGCCGCCTCTGTGACCCTGATGTGACCTTCCCCAGACCTACACATGGCATTATACTTCATTTGGCCTGGAGGCAAGTCAGATAAACTGGCTTCTTACTCCGCAGGATACCAGGCCTTAGTCAAAATCCGATATCTGGCCTGTGCTTGGATAGGCTTTTGTAACTGTAAGACATGATCTGAGAAATACTTGTTTGACATACAGTAATGGAGGAAACAGGGAGGAAGTGCATCAATGAGGAGGAGGTATTGGATAAAGGAAAAACCTTGCCCATCCACTGTTCAATCAGGTGCGAGTGCTCAATATGGATCTACTGTTGGAGAATTGGGTGAGTGTGTGTGTGTGTTTGTGTATAGGAGATATTCGATGGATTCTTGGTGTGGGTTTGATTTGATTAATTCTGTGTGTGTGCTTGTATAAGAAAGGGTAAGATAGCATAAGTTGCCATTTGCAAATGGCAGAGAAGGGCACTCTCAGTGGTGGAATGTGTGTCTGTAGTAGATGCAGGATGGCTGTACAGTAGGTGCCAGTTTTTGGATACGGCTGCAGGAGCGGTTGAGAGTTGATATTAGTAAGCGTTATGTGAGAGAGGGGAATGGTGAGCTCAGGGGTCATGAACCTTGGGGACACACTGCAGACATAAGTAATGAATCCAGTGGGGGAGCTGTAAAAAGCGTGAGGACAGTGAGCTGATGCTACTGTGTGCCTTGCGCTTAACTCACTCCATGTACTCTCGTGGGACACTGTGTGGTGTGGTTTGAATTAAATGTAGAAGGAACAGGCTGATCTCATTGGAAAATAAAGGTTGCAGTATAACAATTGATCAATATCAAGTTGCATTGGATATCACCTCGACCACATTCAGTGTTGGGAACATTTCATCCAATATCTCTCCAACCAACGTATAGTCTCTGATTTGAAACAGAGGAAGATAAAAGACCTTCCGATTTAATATTTGTGGAAATATGACATCTGGTAGGGCTGCTCGATTATGGCAAAAATCATAATTTCGATTATTTGGGTCAATAATTGATATCACGATTATTAAAAACGATTATCCATTTACTTTGAAAACATCAATTTATTGAAAAAGAAAATGTCAACAGTATGTTTTTAACAGTTGATTACCCTGAACTTTAAGTATAATTCAACTGAAAAACCAATAAAAAATAAATAAAATAAAATAAGTAATCGTTTTATTTCGATTATGTTGTTTTCATAATCGTTGCAAGCCACAATCGTAATTGCGTTTAAAATGCAATTAATTGAGCAGCCCTAACATCTGGCACAATAATAAATGTGTTTAGGATGCAGATAACTCACTATTGATGCGGCAAGGGGACCCAGCTTAATTTTTAACTTGATAGCACTACATTGTGAACAGTAAATCTGTGTTCAATTAGCTAGACAAGAGCTAATTAACGTTAGCTGTAAGCTGTTAGAGGCCGAAGATTGGAGTTACCATAGATTGCATTATGGATAAAGCTCTATTCAGTTAAATGTATTATTGGGCAAAGGTAAATTGTAGGGATGCACCGAATATTCGGCCACCGAAAATTATCGGCCGAAAATTGTTAAAAAGGCCCTTTTGGCCGAAAGGGTTTTAGCACCGAAAAAATATCAGCGAATGTCAGAGAACAGGGTTACGTTGATCATACTCCGCATATTTGTCCGGGTGTTTTGATTTCAAGTGGTGGAGTAATCCCGAAGTGGTGAAAGTCTTTGCAGTTACACCCCCTCGAGAAATGTCAGCTGAACACGTTTTACAAATCGAATTACGCGCCTCTTTCTCTGATATTTTGAAATATCTCCAAGCGGCAGACATGTTGGCTGTGAGCCAGCCGCGAGCATGGTCGCGCGCCGTGCTTGTCGCCGCGTTTTGATTACGTCATCACAACAACACGTTAGGTTACCAAACTTATAGGTGCATTTGTTGTTGTTGAAGGCCTGGCTGTTACAGTCTTTATTTACACTATTTTGTTGTAGGCCTACTTGCCTAGATGTTTATGTAGTTTTAAAGCACCTTGGCTTTGTTCTGAATGCACTTTGTTGTAGTTATCCTACAGAGAAAAGAAAATGCACTTGACTTGGAATTAATGTACTGTATGCATTCAAAAGTGCTGAATAAATGTTTTATGGACCCATAATAGTGATTATTATTTAAGTTAAGTTTTGCCATAATCATGTCTTCTTCCATAATCAGGTAGCTGAACAACATTGGTTTCGGCCACGAATTTCCCATTCGGTGCACCCCTAGTAAATTGTAAAGTTTTCATGATCTGGTATTTCAGAATTGTGATGCATACAGTATAGGTTGAATTCAGTATGAAATGTAAGAAGAACAATAAAATATCAAACATTTTACTTATTTTAACAATTCTGTGCGCTAAACCATTTGCTACTGCAATTCCTACATTCTAAACAATTACACATTTGTCATATCAACCAAAGGAAGGCAAACTAGTGAAATATGTTTTTTAAAACATTAATCTGACAATCCATACTCACACAGCATTTTATATTTGTGAAATGGACTATTCGTGGAGAAGTGTGAGGTCAGGGTGGTGTTTGTTCACTGCTTGTATTGACAGTCTTACTCCAGTTACAGTTAAGAACATCTTTATTGATTTAACAGCACAGATGGCTTCTCCTGCCCCCCTCACACACTGGCAGCCTGTTTTCATGGCAAATTAAATAATATTGTATCTCTGAGGCCAAAAGCCGCCCTCACCACTACAGAAAACTGAAACCCTGATGCCTGCATTTCCATATTTTACCCTAAAGACACTGTTTTGTGTTTTGTGAAAAACAGCTCCAGAGTTACTGCTGACATTCACAGAACTCTTGCTGAGCTTGAGTTTTGCTCTGGACAAAGCTCACTCCTGGTATTGTCACCCATTAACACAAAGCTTACTTTTTCTAAACGGTCACAAGGTCGCCTGATGTGAATGTTATGTCTATGTTTGTTTATGGTTGCCATACAGGGTTCCTGTCAATGTCCTTGGGGCCGGCCTGAGAATGGTTAGTGTGTTTGAGTCCAGGCTATTTAAGCTATTTGAATAGGTGTTACCGCAGGGTAGGCTGGCCGTTGGCTTTGGGATTGAGTTTCCCTTGTGCCAACAGAAGTGGTTTAATTGTGTATACCTGAGCTTTAATCAATGCCAAAAAATGTTGAAAGTAACATCAGGAATGTTGGCCATTAGCCAGGGGACCTTGATGAAATTGCTGGAGATATCCAAGGAAACACTCCTTTCACCATGCCTGGTTTTCTGCATGGTTATACACTTAACACACACGAACAAGGGAGAAAGAAAGAAAGCAGTCAGATGTGAATATCCAAAGATGTCAAAGCAATTTTTATTTATCAATATTACAAAAAAGACTTTGAATCAAATGTTCTCCTTTGAATCACATGTTCTCCTGGCTTCCACTCTGAATCGTATACAGTATAGGTTCAATTAATGGTGACAAGGATTTTGGTTGCATGCTTGATTATTTATGTTGCTTTATTCTACAAGTAAACTTTCTAGGATGTAATTTTGAATGTGAGGACTGTTTCAGGGAGTGACCAATAACATTTCTGTTTAAAAGCCCTCTCTGGCATTAAAACCTTCAACTTTCTCAGGAGAAACATGTAATGTAGGGCCTTTTTGTAGACCTAGTGTGTATGTTGTTTGAAGGACAGGTGGTGGTCATTCACAGCGTCCAGGTACTTAATGATCTCGACCTGTAACATCACCTGACCACCCGGGACCACAAAGGCTATAGTGTTATTCAAAGCTTTGTTTAATCAGTAACAACATCATTTTTATTTTTAGAAACATACTTTGGGCTTGTATTGATAATGACAAGCAGCTTCCAAGAGGGGCAATTGGTTATGCAAGGCACCTATATTTCATTATGAATATGTATGAATAAAAGATCTTCAGGGCAATCTATGCAAAGACAAACATTCATCACCATCAATCTGAACTTTTTCCCTCAAGAGTCTATTATTTGGGATACAGTCAACATAAAATCATTGTGTGTGTGTGTGTGTGTGTGTGTGTGTGTGTGTGTGTGTGTGTGTGTGTGTGTGTGTGTTTGTGTGTGCAGATGTGCAGCCTTACCTCTGCAGATTGCATCATCATTTGTGTCTTTTTACATGGCTTAAACGGGTCATATTGGAAACGACACTAAATTACTTCAGAATGTGAGTTTGTTGTTGTGTTGCAACCCCACAGTAAAAACTAAAAAGGGAAATCTGTGAGTTCTAAGAGACGATCAACCAACCTTATTGACTACTCCTCCTCAGTGGTGACGTTCCCCCTGGTTGTGTCTGTGAGTTGTCAGAGCTCCCTCGCCTGATTTACAGTGTGAAATGTGGGGGGAAAATCCCTCGAGCTTTTCCATAATACGAATAAGATGAGCTGGCAAAGATCACAGGCGCCTGAGATATTCGCATTGTGTCTCTCATGGATGGGAAGATTTTGGATGGACATTTTATATTTTCCGTCCTCTAAACTGTTGACACATTCCTCCAGAAGTGCCCTCCACATGCATCACCTCCATCTCTGTCCCCACCAGTGCCATTGTGTTATGAGCGAACGTGGCCTCTGGATAATGTCACATCTGCAAGAGGGAGACAGAGTATGGGGGAGGGTGGAAATGAGGGAGGGTTCTCTGAACATGAAGATTTCTAATTTAATCTGAAGCTCTAGAGAGGACTGTTATGGTTCACTCAACTGGACAGGACAGGGGCTGCCTGTGGATTCTGATCAAATTCAAATCAAGAGGGGGAAAAATCATTAGGGTGGACTCACCTATTATTATGACTGTAGGCGATCAGTGGAGCTGATATTCAGGATTTAGAAAGAAGGAAAAAGTTCGCTTACCAGGTTTTATATTGTAGGTAATTCATCAATTTAACCAGATCAAGTTGTAATTCACATATAATACTGTATGTAATTAATGGGAATGATGGTCACTACTCTTATTTTGTATTACATTACAATTGCTGTATTCACTCTGCAGTTATGTGTAGCTCTTTATAACCCCCACATTACCCCACATTGACAAAGTTCACAACAAACTATGCCATGAAAATGATTGTTTCAGGACCCCACATCGACCTGGAGAAATGACTTGTCAAATATTTGCAGAGCTATGCTCAACATTTCTAATGGAACCCTCTTTCAGAGATGTATGTATATACCTCCTTAAGTCAACCTTGCATAGGCCAAGAGCAGCCACCGTGGTTGATGAATATAGGTAAAGAAATATATACAAATCATACTATTCACTTCATGCAACACACAAAGCTATTAGAAATGCAGTAGATTATTGAAA